AGATCAGTCAAACCACAATCCCTTTATGGGGCCATTTTAATCATGGTAACTTCTGGCTCAGATGTTTTTGTATGCAGTGCAGAGGTTTTTATGACCAGCAGTTCTGTGTTTGAAAACTGACTTAGCTCAAAACAGAGTGGTTGTGTAGCTGACTGTGCATAGAAAATAATGATGCAACTTCAGAAAGCATTTGTGTGATGTAATGAAAGAAATACAACTCTTTCTCACTTAAAAAAACCCATAAAAGCTTCTATGATGTATTTTAATAAGAAGCTTTAGTAACTGAATGCACAAGCACTCTTAATTATGCAATCAGACTATCATATGTCTGTTATAACATTATGTTACAAAATCAGCTTGCAAATATACGGGAAATTCTGTTCTTTAAGCCTGGGATCAAAGTCTGGGACAGCCCTGGCTATTTGCGTAAGGACAGCAAATGTCCTTCTGCTTCAGTACCAGATGGTGCACTTCTCCAGATAATAGCATAAACCAGTATTGTTGGATGGAATAACATTGTTTTAATCAAATGTGACCTGAATTGCCACGCTCTTATTAGTATTTGTTATGGGTAAGCACAATCAAAACATGTTTCCCTGACCTATAACGAAGATAGAAGCGTGAGCAAATACTAACATTGCAGGCTTTCTCTTCTTTATTAGAAATATGTAATACTAAGCTGTAACATTGTCTGACCAAAGCTAATAATGTTTCTACACTCTTACCAAGTATCTTAAAAGAATGCATTATCCTGGAAAAGCTGTTGAGAAGGGGAGACCTTGGTTTTTCAGGATACCACACCTGAAGCCCGTGGAAGACAAAGCAGTGTCATTTTTGGGGGGTTGGTTGTGATTTTTTTTTCAGTACTCCTCAATCAGCAGGCACTGAGACAGGAATGAGTTTCCAGTTTTGTGTGTAAGGATTGATAACCTTCTTTGTAAAACAAGGGAAGTTCAAGCAAGTGATGTAGGTGGGAGACAGACCATCCAGAGAAGAGGACTGTGGTCAGGAGGGCATGTGTGGAGCTCTTGTGTGCAGCATCAGAAGCAGGATGTCGTTGATAAGGGACATCTAGATCTTAACACCTTTCAAGAAGTAGAAATCTCCTATTCCAGTTTGTCTGTAGGGACTTTGCTTCTTCCTTTATCTCAGTCCAGACCTGGGAATGGGGCCTCCTTTTGGGTAAGAGATGGTCCATGCTACAGTAGACCAAGGAGCTGCAGCACCCTTCTACCTACCTGGACAAAATCATTCAACTTCATGTGCTAAGGAAATAGTCCAGGTGGCTTCTTCCTGCATGTGATGTGTATGATGTTTCTCCAGTAAAGCTGGGTTGGAGAAGGGAATATAAAACCAAGATGTCAGGCAGTACAGGGGCAGGACAGTTGCTGGTCCTGAGCTTTACCACAGTGGCTGAGCTGTGAACTCACTGGGAGCTGTAGTACAGGGCTCTGAAGTAAAGGAGTGCAAGTACTGAGGTGCTGGCAGATCATCTGAGGGACTCTGAGGTCTTTGGTCCCCAGCACTAAGTAGGGGTTGTGTACAGGATGCGAAAGCCAACCATTAGAGGGGAAATGCGATGCTGGATTCCAACACCACATTCTCCTCAGGTAGGCACAGCTGTGATACAGAGGTACAAAGCAGTGTCAGTGGTGATGGGGCTGCTCAGGAGCGTGGAATAAGAATGTCTTATTCACTTAGTTTTGGTTGCTTTCAGGTCAGCTCATGTGGCTTTGCTGGGGAGCTGGGGGATGTGGTGCCTTTTATGGAGAAGCTGAGATAGATATTGAATGAAATAATAATCCCTGCCTGCTATGTTCAACATTATGGTTCTAATTTTAACTCCATGATAGCCTTCAAATGAGAAAGTTTTTGTCAGCTGCATTTTTAACACTAAGAAGAACTGAATTCACTGTGCCCTGGCTTTGAGGAGCTGTGGTTCTTTTCTAAGCTCCCTGAAATTGAGTGCAGTCTTGAGCTGAGAAGGGTATCAGTCTAGCTGGTCTCTCGCATAGTTACTTGTGCAGCTCATTTTGTACATATGTAAGTAGCTGGATCCAACTGTGGGGAAATCTGGTTATCCCAAATTCCTTGTATCTTTTCCTTTGGTAAGCTGCAGAGCAAGACAGGGAGACAGCAACTGCAAGAAAATGTAGCTCATAGACAGTTGTCAAACAGGCAGTGATGGTTTCTGCAGCCAGTGTCTAGTGATTTCTGCTTTTCAGAGAACTTTGCCAGTTGTTTTATGATAAACTCTTTGCCTTCAGAGATTTTAAAGAATTATCTATCAAAGAGGATAATGTTTTGTAACAGAATAGATTACTGGAGAACACTGTATCAGATTTTTGCAGGTTGTAAAGTGTTTAAGTGCTGTAATCTTGCTTCAGAGCCTGGGGGCTCTGTGTGTGTCACTTTAACTTGGTTTTTGTTACCAAATAACCTTTGATGCTCAATTTTTGCCTGGTAGAAAATATTTGTAATTAATAAAAAGAGCTTACGCAATTACCATGGTCTTTAGTTGACATGCTTCTTGAGTATATCCTTTTATAATAGCTGAAACATAGTCTTATGGCTGGACAATAAACCTAATCCCAAATCAGCATGCTCCTCTTCATTTAGAAAAGTTACTTTGGAGCTAATAGCAAGGATTGCTGCTCAGTATTTGCAGTATGGGTTTTAATGGGAAATCCTGATCAACAGCTCCATTGTTCTGTGTTCTGTCTTGTTCTCATGCAACTTTTTTTTAGGTCAGTTTTTCTCTGGCTGGCTTTATGCTGGCTTCCCTTAAAATGAGATTAACAGGCTGTTAGAGCTGATTGTGCTTGCTAGTGGCTTATCTTAGAGTGGGGATCTCTGCATCTACATGCAAGTTTTGTGATGACAATTTCCAGAGGCCTTAGAAAAGGAATAGCTTGTCTTGTGGAGGAGCATCCTGGCTTGGAAACAAGTGGACACTGCCTCTGGGTGTGGTTTTCCCTGAGCATTTGTAGGCTATTAAATGCAGTAGCAGGCCAAATAAATGTGAAGCTGCTGAAGTTCCACTATGGTGAGCTTTCAATATGCAGCCTTGCAAAGCAAACTTAGTGGATACTGTCAGTAGCTTCTGTAGTACCAGCATCAACTTTCAGGGCTGTCTTACAGTCCCCATGACCTATATTCAGTGTTACAAATGTGTGTCTTGTGTAGACTCTTCTAGAACTTCACCTCTGGTAATGCAGGAGCTGGGTGGGAGACAAGTATACCCCTTGGTGCAGAGCGGGACAGTGTGATGAGCAGGTGTAACCAAGCAGGTCAGATCGGTGGACACAGAAAAGCTGGGGAGGCATCATCCCCTGTGAAAGATCCTCTTGAGGAGCCTACTTCCGAAAGATAAATTATTCCTGGATTCAGAAGATACTACATACAGAAGTGAAACTTTTCTTTGGTGGCTGCATTTACATGGGTCAAGGCTTTGTTCTTCTGCAGAAAGCACAGCACCCTTCAGATACTTCCAGGATACACTGAATTATAGAATATCTCAAGTCAGAAGGGACCCATAAAGATCGACTCCAACTCCCTGCACCTCACAGGACAAGAGGACAGCATGGCTGTCTAGAAATACAGACTGGATTTATACACCCCACCAACCAGTGAAGTAACTACAGCTTGTACCTTAAGTGAAAATTTCTTTATTGGAGGCTTGTACATGATAAAACATTTTGGTTGTGCACTAGTGTAACATGTACAGAAATAGAAATACACACAAATGGGGTTTGTTAAAACTGTGAGAGGATTCTTAATGGCAGCACTCACGTCTATTCTAGGCTGGGCTTGCCAGTTAACTTATAAAACACTATTTATCTTCTTGATCTTGTTTGTCACTTCCAGAAGACACATGTTCTTGTGGCTGCTTCCTAAAAGCAGTTTCCCAATGTACGTGGAGTGTAGCGAGCACGTAAGCATGTTTGGTATCAACAGTGAAACACCATGTACAGCAGTATTTTGTAAGCATTAGATAGGCACAGTGGTGACTTTCACACCTAAAAGGAATGAAGTGCGAGAATTGTTCACCTGGGTAATAAATATACATCAAAGCTAGCAACAGTGTGTTATCAAGGAAGCCCAGCTATCTCCTTGAACTATTAGGCTGTACTTTGGAGTTAGAATTGAAAAAGAAAAGTGAAATAACCTTATTAAATCAATTCTAGGGCCAATTTCATAAGCACTTCAAACAAATCACATATATTACACTGCAAATGTATGTGCAATTACAGAATTGTTGCTCATAACTGCAGTGCTTTCTGCAGACCTTTTTAGCTGTCATGATCCCACGTAATAACAAATATAGTTCCTAATGACTGAGAGATGATACAGAATGTTTTGCAGCACAGTGCTGCAAAACTGGTGTTTCAGACTGGAGCTTGGACCCCAGAGGAGAATAAGCACCAGACGCTGGGCATTGCAGCCCCTAATTGCAATGAGCCACCAAGTAATGTAACTGCATTTAAAAAAGTGGACGTTCCCCATGTTCCTTTTGGAGGCTCAGGGGTGTCTGTGGCTTTGTTTCATAGCAGTGGAACTGATGAGAAGCATGGATTGAACTGCATGTGCAGGCCAGCCTGCACTGGTAAAAGAGCCCTTGTGAAAGTGAAAACTTCCTCATCTCTCTTTAGGCAAAGTCTGAAAGTAGAAAACCTACCTGTGTTCAGATCAGTGCTCTCTCTCAGCTGCCACTGTGCTTTTTACAGCATATTGCCAGGTGCTTTACAGAAACAAGGCACTCAGGCCAGTGGGCAGCAACTCAAATGTGAAATACGTGCAGCAGTGGGAGGGAGCACAATCACTGTCTGCAAGCCCTTTACAGCATCATTATTTCAAGCTTTCTGGTTCACACACAGCTGATACTTGCTTACCTTGAATATTGATGGCTGCTCCTCCCTATTGTTACAGCTTTTTACCTTTACCCTGTTATTAAGCAATTGTTTCTTCCTGGATACTTACTGGTGTCCTCTCCTCCACAGAAAGGACCCTCATCAGGGACTGACAGAGTGAAGAAGGGTGGATCCTATATGTGCCATAAGGTAATATGGAAAGGCCTCTGTGGTATTTTCATGTTGAGCCTTTCTCTGGAAAGACTTGACAATAAAATGATCTTCTGACAGTTTCCCAACAGCTTGTTGAGGGGTTCCATGCAATTTAAGGAAGAGCAATACCTAATGTTCCTGAGAACTTCTTTTTTGTTAGCTTGGAATTAAATAAGGTGCTTTACCCAGCATGGAGGTTTTTTTAGATGTGGAAGTTGAGATTTATGTATGCTTCTAATGCTGTTTCATTATAGTGCTTAAGTGATACTTGAATAGAAAGTATGGATGTGACTTTTTGAGAATGACTCAGGATATCAGGTTTGCAGGAGGGAGATGAATGTTCCAGCTTAGTCAATAGCACCCTTGAAATGGTTTCTGAAAGGTTTGGATACCACCACAATGCAATAGCCATTCCTGACATAACTCAGGTTTTAAACTCTGTTCACACAGTGCTGGAAAAAATGCTCATTGTGCATCTCCTTTTTCATTAAAGCTGTCCTGCTCTTCTTCCCTTTCAAAGCCTGCAGCTGGCAAATCCTCCTCATAATTAGATTAAATTTTCTACAGCGAGATCCCATTTTCTACACTGATTTCCTCCTTAGGTGAAATCAATGTCAGATGTTAATTAGCAGTTTTGATTAAATTAACACTGGAATAGATTCTTCAGTGATGAATAATGTGACCCATTTTAAAGGGTTGTGAAGATTCTGGTCTGCCCTAGTCTTTTTTTTTTTTTTTTTTTCCTAGGTGATAAAACTAGGCTGTGTATCATGACAGAACCCCCCACTGAATACTATTAGTACAAGGGCTCTTTATTAGGTGTCTAAAAATCTGTTCCCACTAAGCTCTGTGCTGTTGCTCATTTCCCATTCAGAGCTGACAAAGGCTGAAGTTGCACCTTCTTACATGTATGCTTAGCAGCTACTTTTATGTTCAAAATAGTTCAGCTGGTAAATCCTGGGGTGTCCTGTTGAGGTTTAGGGTAGACCTCTGCAGTGTGAGATAGCAGCGGGCACCGTGCTTGTTGGGGACAAAAGCTGCTCTCCGGCTCTGCACCCATATAGAAGAGCTGGTGAGGAACTGCTGGGTGAATCTCCTTAGATGGAGATAGTGTTAACTCATGGAGATAAGCATCAGTGGTGGCGTTCTCTTGATGACAGAGCTGCTTCAAGTTGTCATCATCCTTGTGATTGTATGAATTGATCTGTTTGGTAGCTGTACCTGAACTCCTGAAGGGATCTGGGTTTAAAGGAGAAAAACTACCTTCCCCTCCCTGTTCTCCTCTGCTCCCACACATCCCCTCAAAAAGGAAGGAGGAAACCACGTTTGCTTTTTGACTCAGCCATTCCAGAAGTCTGCAGCTGAACCAGCCTGAATGGAGGTGGGGGGGGGTTTCCTGTCTGAGGCCAGGAGCCTGTAGGAGGACAGGAACAAAACCCCTGAGCTAGGTCTTTTGAAGTAATGGCAGAATGGGGCAGAACTTGGATTATACTGGAGTTGCTACATAAACACGGTCTGCACTACCCCTGCACTTCTCCAGTGAAATTACCAGTGTGTCTGTCCTTCAATGGCACGATGGGTAACTGTTTCTGGGCACTCAGTCTGACTTTTAATGCAGCAAACATCTTAAACTGGTTGGTTCTGCAGTTTGGAAACCACCGCTCCTAATGCCGGACAGTTGAGGATCTGCAGCACTGCGAAGAGTATGTTTTTCTTTTTTCAAGGAGTGTAAATATATTAACATGCCCTGAGACATGGCCAAATCTGTACAGCCAGGAGACATACGAAACACGTTACACACCAGCGTCTGTACCAGTCTGTAAAGATGTCTGACCTTGTCCTTTTTAGATTCATCTGGCTAACAGCCTTTCTTAAAATAGCTTGGACAAAGCACCCTGCAGCCGTCCTTTTCTGAATCTTTTAAGATGACATTTTTGATCTAAATTGGTCCGTCACAGAAATATCAAATCCTACAAGCACAAGACAAGCAACACTGGGAATGAAAGCACAGAGGTATTTCCTACCGACACGCTCCAGTGGGATCAAATGCTGTGTGTGATGGGTGTGAGGACAAGTCCTGTGAATAATCTTGTGCTCCTTTCTCACCTCAAGAAATAAAAGGGCAATAGTGGTTCCTCCTTTCATTTCCTGTGAGGGGGCTGCTGGGTGATTGCAGCCCATTCAGGAAGAGAACAGAGCTCAAAGGTAGCTACTAGGAATATCTGGAATGCAACTGAATCATTTAATCACTGCCTTAATTTTAAATGTAGATGGTTTTATAGTCAGCAGTCCAGATTATATCTCGGTTATAAATATCCCTAGAATGTTAGCCACAGAAATACTGGGAAGGAGTTTGCCTCCAGTTACCCCGTTCTTGTTGCGTCTTTCAGTGAGATGTTTTTTGACACACGCCACTACCTGTCCATTTCCAGTCATTCCTTAGTATGCTGGTACAGACATCAGGGCACTGAGATGCGCTCTCCTCTGAAGAGAAGTAGAATGGTTGTTTTATCCATTTCCCAGGGAAGGATTATTATTAGTTGACATGTTATCAGATGCTTTGCCATTCAAACTACCTCTTGTATCAGCTGCAGCCTCTGTATATAGTGGGATCCCCTTATTTCTAACACAGTGACTTTGATCTGTATCAGTTCACTGACCTGTCATTTGAAATGGTTTGCTGCATTAATCTAACAAACTCTTCCCTACAGAAGCACAAGCTGTGAATGCTCTGAAGTTCACTTGTTATCCTCTTTCTCTGCAGTCTTACTGCTACAGGTACCGCTGTGCAGCCCGTAGTCAAAACACTCCTGACAGCTCTGCTTCCAACCTGGGGTTCCGCTGTGCAGCAGACACTTTGCCAGAGCTACAGTGACTGTCACACCGAGACAGCAAGGGCTGAATTTCACCCAAGGAAGAAGAGATGTGTGGAGCGGCAC